AAAAATAAACTAAACCGCATGTTTATATAGATAATAAGGTATGAAAATATATATATTTTTAAAATCGATCATACAAAATGGCGGCACGGTGCAGCGTAAAAAAAGTCGTCTTTTTAAAAAGCGGCTCCGGGGCTTGCAGCATAAGTTGAGTAAATGTTGTCTTGGAAAAAAAACTTTTTTTTTTATAATCTATAAGTCTATAGCTAGAGAAATACGTACGGATTTTGAAAAATATTGATTTTTTAAGAAATCACAAGCTTTTGAAAAAGTGACATAAATTTTCGTTAAAAAAGTCGACCTATATTTGTTTATAACTTTTGCAATTTTTAATATTTTTAAAAATCCGTACGTACTTCTCTTAAAAATCTAATTATGAAGATATGGTTAAAATTTCAAGTCATTTGATTAAAAATTGTTTGAGTTATGCTGCAAGCCAATTTAAAAAACATAGTTTCGAGAAAAACGCGTTTAAAGTTTTATGTAGTATTTTCTAGTATAAAGCTGAAAATTGCTATGATATAATTTTTTACCATTAGTCTGCTATCCCAGCACCATATAATTGACCTTCTGTGTTAGTATTTTCATATTCTTCAGCCTCATATTTATCAGGACAGTGAAAAATTAGAAGCGCGTGAAATATGTAATTTCGTGAGTTTTGATACGAGTACAATGTAACTTTTTTGACTTCAAGTATTTAAACATATATTTTAAACAATTTTGCCGCTATTCATCATATGCAGTTTGCATGTCAGACCAAAAATTACTCAGAGAAGCCCACTGTCTTTTGAAATAGGTTCTGATACCATTTCGAAAAACGTTATCATCTAATACATAGTGCAACATCCGAATTATAACCGGGGCTTTGATGTGATATGATAAAGAAAAAAGTGAATTAATTTCTGATGTACTAATGATTTTTGATGCAACGACTGGATTCATAATTGATTCAACGTCGAAGCGGAAAGACTCTTACACAGTTTGGACTATAAGTAAATTCGACATGCGAGGATCGATTGTCTCCTTAACTATATCGTTTATACAAAAAAATGTAGCAATTCCATTATTCAACCATAAATCATTCCACCATAATGGGCTAACTATTGTGCCTAACTGGCGTGATATGGAAAGGATTATAGAGTACTTTGATTGTTGAATAAATGCAGCCGAATTCGAAGTATTGCTATAAATAATATTGGCTTCTCGATAAAAAGTAACTGCCCATTTCATTATATTGTTATCCAATAAACCTGGAATAACGATTTGTTGAATTGTTCGGTCCTCTTGTTTCCAATAAGTTTTGAAATATTTCATTACACTTTTTGTTAAATTTGTGGCTTCCGCATAGAATTCTCTGTCATTCCAGACATTGTTTCTCCATATTATATTTCCTTTACGATACGTGGGCATTTTACAAAGCCCTATAGATACCAGACAAGTAGATATTTCAGGGGTCATGTAAAAATTTGTAGTAGAGTATCTACTTTTCTGAACTGGTTTTTCAATCGCTCGCATATTAGAAAAACCTCGATAGTTGCGGTCATGACGTATACTTATAGTAAAATTTGCCTTGAATTTTGGCTCATCCCAGCAAGGGAATATTCTTCGTGTTGTAGTCGGCCAATTATTCGTCCAAATAAACCAGCTTTCGTGTCCACTTTCGTTTAACCGAATCCTGGAAAAGCCACTCACGTAGCTACTCACGTTGCTATATATATTTCCAAAAAATGTCATATTAAGAATATAACTGCCAGGTGACAGTATATTTTCAAAATAAATAACAATTATTTCATTGTGATTATCGATTTTCAAATATCCTTTGTATTTATTATCATTGTGTTTATTATCGACCAAAATTGGGACAGTAATATTCAGATTTACCGAATGTAAATTTATTATCCGAATTGGTTTTTTAATGATTATACCAATACTACACATTCCGCGAAGAGTATTGTTTTCCACATTGAGGTCTAATTCTATATTATAATGTTTA